AAAAGGAGGCCGCAAAGGCCACCACAGGACAGCAGACGGCCACCTGCCTGGTGCCCAGAAAAGAGCACGAGGCATCTCCGAGGGACCCCTAAAGCCCCGAGGCGCCACTTTGCTAAAGTGACCACAGGATGGGCGCCACTCCCGGCCGACGCAGGGGACGGAGCGCCAGGCCCTGTGGTGGGGACGTGCGGTGCCATCAGTTTGCACACTGTGGGAAGGACTCGGTGGACCCCGTCCCAGGCCCCGAGTGCACGGAGACCCGGGGGACCTGGTGTGGCCGCCCGCCCGTGACGCCCCAGCACAGAGCCCGGTGCCCCCCGGCAGGAGGAGGGTGTCCACGGGTGGTGTCCCGGGCACAGGGCTGCGCGTGCCCACAGACGCGGCCCAGGCGCACACGGGCCAGCTCTGCTAGAGCGCAGGTCCCAGCCGGGGCTCTCCCTGGGGCTGGGGGCTGGGGGTGGGGACACCAGGGCTCTGCAGGCTCCTTCTCCACCTGGGAGACGTGACGTGGCTTCAGGATCCTGTCACCTGTGCCCTCGCCGCCTCCCTTGGGCTATGTTTGAAATACACACCAAGAACCATGTTTTTGGTGGCAAGACAGACACGACATAAAGCTCACCCTGTCCGCCACGCTCAGTCCCCAGTAGTGGCTCGAAGCCGTGCCCTGGGTGCAGTGTCCCCACCATCCATCTCCCTGTCCCCATAACATTAGCCCAGTCCCCCCCCAGCAGGGCACCCGCCAGGCTACTTCCCGTCTCTGTGGACTTGGTCAGCTCCGGGACCCGATCTCGGGGGATTGGCAGCTTTGTCCTCCGCCCACCTTCTTCACTAGCAGGACATTCTCAAGGCTGTGTCAGTCCTTCACTCCTTTTCAATGCTGAGTAATATTCCACCGGGTGAGGACACCACGGTGTCTTGTACTCACCGGTCCCTTGGGTCACGCCCCCTTTAGGCCTCAGGGAACCATTCGGCTGTGTTCGTGGGTGCCCGAGGATCAGTTCTCTGGGGAAAGCCCCCCGAGTGGGGTGCTGGGTCATGAGGTAAAGCTACACTTTATTTCTGAGGAACTGTCTGTCAGACTGATTTCCAGAGCGGCTGTGACCCGGCTCAAACGGGTTCTACTGTTAGAGACCATTTTCAGCTCTGTCCCTGCCGGGGACACGGCTCACCACGCTCCTGTGGGGCTGAGGTGGACCCCGCGGAGCGCTCCTGGGCGATCGTGGGGCGGAGGCGGAGACCCGGGTCCGCGTTCCGGAGCCGCAGCCAGGGCCTCGCCTCACAGGCAGCGGCCGAGGGGCGCCAGGTGGGGAGGCCTCCTGGGAGCGGGCCCCGGCTCCAGGCCAGCCTCAGCCTGGGTCCCTCTCCTGACTGGCCCTGCCCTTTCCCGCCGTGCCACGCCCTCCAGCTGCGTGCCCCTGGGTGGCCTGTCCTGTGGCCCCGCCATCTTCTCGCGGCCTGGCAGGGCGATGGCCCTCCCTCCCCACGCCAGCCCTGCTCACCCGCAGCCGGGCCTCCTCCCTCGCGCCCCGTCGCACCCTGGAGGGGGGTGGCCGTGGACGAGCCCGGCTGCCCTCCATCGTGCCTGGCCGAGGCGCAGCTCAGCGGCGCTCACTGCCTGCCCCGGGCAGCCGCACCGGTCATCTCCAGAACCTTCCCTGTGCCCGGTGGCAGCTCTGTCTCATCGAGCTCAAGCTGCCCATGCCCTCCCAGCCCCTGGCCCCCACCGTCCACTTCCTGTGTCTGTGGGTGTGACTACTCCAGGGACCTCCTGTGACGGACCCTGCAGTGAGTGTCCCTTGTGTCTGGATCACGTCACTGACAACTTGTGCAGCATGTCAGAGCTTTGCTCCTCTTCCTGGCTGAGTGGTGTTCCAGCATGTGTCCATCCATCTGCTGGTGGACGTGGGACTGCATCCTCCTAACATCCCTGTTCCTCTCCCCCAGGCTGTGCCTTCCTCACCTACTGTGCCAGGGACTCCGCCATCAAAGCTCAGACTGCCCTACACGAGCAGAAGACCTTGCCCGGGGTGAGTCTCTGTGCTGTCTGGCGAGGTGGGTGGGAACTTGCTCTCAGCCTTGGGGTTCAGGCCCTTCCCAGATCAGCTGTGAAGCTCATGGCCTCTGACCCAGACAGACAGCTAAGAGCAGAGGGCAGAAGGCACCACCAGGTGGCACTGGCCGGGGCCTACTGCAGCTGGGCTGTGTATTACGAGGCATGTGTGGTTGGCTAGGTTGTTTACTGCACAAGTGCCTGGCCCTACATGCAAGTGTCACTGGCCTCAGAGATGAGGAAGCTCGGCAGGCGGAGGCCCCGGGCAGGACCCAGCCTGGTGTGCTGGAGGCCCAGGGAGGAGCCCTGCAGCTGCAGCAGAGGAGGTGACGGAGGTCGGGTGGGGACGGGCAGGCGGCACAGCCCCGTGGGGCATGAGGAGCCCAGATCCTGTGGCTTTTCCCATAGAAAGGAAACGGGGCCCCGGGTCCTTATGGAGCGAAGGCAGCCACAGCCCTTGGTGTGGGGACTGCCGTGTCCCTGGTGACCAGGAGGCTGGCCTGGACACTGTCCCTGGTGAGTCCTCCTGTCCCTACTGGGTGCCAGCAAGGAAGGTCCCCCTGAGCCAGGTCCCTGGGCCCAGGGAGCCTCAGGGAGCCTGCAGGCCTCAGCTGGGGGCTCCGGGGGACCCTGCCTGACAGTGGAGAGCGGGGGTGCGCCTCGGGCTGAAGGCTTGCATTGGACTCAATTTCAACAGGTCAGAAGGTGTGGGGTGGCCACAGCTCGTTTGAAAGAAGGAGAAGCCCCCTTTGGGGTGGCTGCGGCTCCGGTGACGGGCACTCCGGTTGCCACTTCAGTGATGTTCTCTTGTTCTCCAACCTGTCCTTGCTGTGTGACAGCGAGCCAGAAACTTAATCTCTCTGTTCTTTGGGACTGGAAGAGGGCAACATGTCAATGTGGGGGGAGGAAATTGTAGAGGAGGTGGTCATGGAGGGCTTCACTGAGGAGGTGACATTTGGGAAGAAACATGATGTTGGTTTTTTTTTTTTTTTGTAACTATAATGAAATACCAGAGGCAGGCTGGTCCCTAAAGGAAAAAAAAGGTTTATAAATAAAGCTCACCGTTCTGGAGGTCAAGGGCCTGTCATTGACATTGACTCAGTTCCGGTGAGGATGCCGTGGTGGATGGTGTCATGCGGCCGGAGGTGGGAGAGGAAGAGTCCTGTGATGAGCCAGGAAGCCAGAGGGAGGGGAGGAGGGAGGGGAGGAGGGAGGGCGTCCAGCTGGCCTCCCAGGAGAGCCCTGTCCACACCTCAGGGACACGCCCCCAGGGACCTAAGCGGCTCCTCCAGGCCCATCTCTCCAAGACCCCCAACACTGGGGACCAAGCCCCCAACACGTGACCTGGGGACAGGCCACCTCCCAACCCTGCAGGTGACAAGAAAGGGCTCTGGGCAGACGCACAGCACGGGCAAGAGTGACCTCGAGTGTGTGCAACGAAAACCCCAAATTCACTCTCCTCCTCTTGACCCTCTGCCAGCCCCGCCCAGCCCAGAGGCCGGGGGTGACCGACCGCCAAGGGCCGCTCTGCCGCCGGGTCACAGGCCACCCGTGAATTCGCGGTTCCAAGCAGGAGCTCTGGGCCGAGCCTGGGAGTGGGCTCGCCGTGGTCCTGACCGGGAGCTGGCCTGGGCGGTGGCAGGACTTTGATTTGGTGGGGAATCTGCTTCCAAGCTGGCCCCTCGGGCGGCCAGGGGTCGAAGGCCTCAGGTCCCCGTTGCGGGCGGCTGGCCTCCCCAGAGCTCGGGGCCACGAGTGACAAGGAGGGAGCCGCCCTTGGCGCCCGAGCCTCACAGTGGCCTCTCACTCTCCCCGCGCTGTCACTGGACAGTGCAGACTGAGAGAAGGACAGAGGGACTCACCAGTGGGCATCAGGTCCATCCAGGGTCAGGTGCCAGCAAGCCACAGGGCAGGGCGGACCCTGGGTGGACGCAGACCCGCTGCTGGTGGTCGCCGGGGCCAGGGCCGTTTCCGGTAAGGTGGCCTCCTGCTCGTGTGGCTCCGCCCACCCGTCCTCCACGCTCCGCCCACCCCACGCTCCACCCACCCCACGCTCCGCCCACCTCATGCTCCGCCCATCCCACGCTCCACCCACCCCACGCTCCGCCCACCCCACGCTCCGCCCCGCCCACCTTCCATCTACCCACCCACCATCCCTCCCTCCCTCCCCGCACCGTCCTCTCGCGTCCACTCCTTTGACAGTCTCCCTGGGCACCTGCTCCTTGCCCGGCACTCTGCTGAGCTTCCCTGGGACCTGTCCCCTTCCAAGTGGCCCCGCTGTCTGCAGGTGCCCACACGTGGCCCGTGATGCCCTCTGAAGCAGCTCCTCTCTCAGGCCCTGGCGCCACCTCCCCTCCCCATCCCCGGAGCCCTGGTCCCCACATTCTGCTCTCAGAGTGTCTCCCTCTGTGTCACCTCGTCCCCCACGCTGCTGACACCTTGAGCTTGACTCTGGGCTCTACCCAGCCGAGCTGGGCCCCAGGATGAGTGTCTCTGCCGCTCGGTGTCCTTGTCCCCTGACCATCTGGACAGACTTGGAGGCTGGGGGCAGAAGCAGGTCCTCATCCCCAGGGATTCCCCACTCCCTCACACTGACCCCTCAGTCCAGGACTCGCGGGGACGGCTGTCCTACCTGCACTCCCTCCAGCCTGCCCTCCAGTCTGTGTCCGGCTCATGTGTCCTCGGCTGGCCTTTCCTCAGCTCTGGTGTGACGTAGGGCGGGGGACAGCAGCCGAGACCAGCAAGGGAGTGGCCGCGGCGCCTGTGGAGGTGGAGAAGCCCCGCGGGTCGAGCAGACTGAGGAGGGGTCTCGGTGCAGATGGGCGGTCAGGGGCCTGGCAGCAGGTGACCTCAGGGGTGGATGTGCCCGAGGCTCCCGGGCCCCGGGGGGCGCAGGCCCGGTTTCCCAGGGCAGCTGTGGCCATGGCCTGTGGTCAGGCTCAGGGCAGCCGGCTCAGGAGCCAGGTCCAGAGTCAGGGGGTGGCAGGGCCACTCCGGGCTCCTGGGAGAGCGGCCCATGTGTGCCCTGGCCTGTGTGGCATCCACTGCTGGCCCTTGTCACCTGCACCCCTGCCCCGGCTTCCCGCAGCCTCCTCTCAGGGCCTCTCGATCTCCCTACAGAGATCTGGGGGTCGGGGCTCCCCACAGCTGGACGTGCGAGGCCCAGGGTTGACCCTCGGCACCACGTGAAGGAAAGAGACAAAACGAAGGTCAAAGGAAATACTGCCCAGAGCAGAGTGCCCGGAACTCAGAGGGTGACAAAGCACCCACCTCTGTCCCCTGCAGGCTGGTCTAGCTGCCCCTGCCGGGGCCCTGGTCTTCCAGGGGCACATCTGGACTTTCCTTGTGGCTTTTCCACGTGGCCACACCTCCCTTCCCTCCCGCCAGGTGCTGCCCAGTGCTGCCTGCCCACGAGGATGGGGGCGTTTTGCTTCTTGTGGAGAGTGGGGACCACAGGTTGTCATTGTGGACTCTGTGCTGGGCTCCCAGTGGGCCCTCAGGTGCCAGGAGGAGGAGCCGGCGTCCACCCAGGCCATAGGGAGCCACAGCAGCATTCAGAGGAGGAAGGGGCTTGGTGCGGTGCCTGGCAGAGGTGGGGTCAGCGGGAGAGGACAGTGGAGTGTGGGCGGGGCAGCCAACGGGGTCCACCGTGCCCCCCCACACACCATCTGCCTGGGGTCTTCCCTGGGCCCCAAATCTTCTAAAGGATCACGTTTCAAATAGGGTGGACTCTTGGCTTCACCCCGGGGCAGCAGAGGACCCTCCGGCAGGCCCTGCCCTCTCGGGGGCTGTGTCCCCACCTGGGACACTCCAGAGCACGTGGTCCCACCCACCCAGTGCACGCCCACCCATGCCGAAGCCCAGGACCCCCGGAGCCCTGCCCCGGGACCTCCCTAGGTAGATGGGGTGGGTCCTCAGAGGGCCGGGGACACCAGCAGGACCTGGCCCCTTCTGCCCGCCTGCCCCTCTGGTCTTCGCCGCGGCCTCATGTTGGTGGGGACTAAATGGTCCCTGTGGGCTCCGCCTGACGCCTGACCGCCCAGACTCCTACGCCTGCTTCAGAACCCCTGCACACAGCCGGCCGTCTTCACCGAGCCTGGGACACCTTTTGGTCCTTGGGCCCCCTTGGCTCTGGCCTGACCTTCTCTCCTCCACCCGCCCTGACCCCCGAGTGCCAGTGTCTGCCAGTCTCCCCTGTGGTGGATGAATGTGGGGCCCCCTGGGATCCCAGAATCTCTCCACTTGGAGGAGCTGGAAATGTGGAATAAATAAAGGAAGGGGAGGGTCGGGGAGGGCTGCAGGGTGGGGAGCGGCCGGTGGAGGAGGAGGGAGGGCAGGCAGCGGACACCTCTGCGGGACAGATGGAGAGAGGGAGCCGGAAGGAGGTGGGCAGAGGCAGATGGGCGGGCAGGGGCGCAGGAGGGGTGGCGGCCGGCCTGCGTGTGGTGTGCGCCTGTGCGCCCAGGGCGGCCGGGCGGCGGCGGCACGTGGATGCCAGCCTGGCGCGGCCCTGGCCGGTGGGTAAGGCGGGTGCTGGGCTGCGGGGCGGGGACCACCCGGCCCCAGAGACCGGTGCAGTGTGGGGACCTGGAGGGAGGGCTGCCCACCAGCTTCCTGGGCCAGATTAGGACCCCCTTCCCACCACCAGGCTGCCCCAGGAGGGGGTCCTCCCAGGGGGAGGCGGAAGGTCCCCAGGTCCAGCGGCCGAACGAAGGGCGCGGATGGAGGGCAGGTACCCCAAGCCCCGAGAATGGGGTGGAGATGGAGGTTGGGTGATGGGGGCGGATGCTCTCCCGCGGCCGCCCCTCCCTCCCTCCCGCGGCCCATCCATCTCTCCAAGATCATATTTAAATATCTCTTTTGTGCGAGGCAGGAGCTGGGCTCGCCCCTCAGAGGCGGTTTCCGTGGCAACAACAATTGCCAGCTTCCGTGTGGTGAATCAGCGTTGCCATGGAAACCCCATCCTCATCTGCCCAAGGTGCTGGGAGGAGGGAGGAGGTGAGGCCCGCGGAGGCGGGTGGGAGAGGAGGGGGGCAGGAGCTGGGTCTCAGGTGCCCCCTGTCCCCCACGCCTGGCCACCCCAACCCAGAAGCCGATCGCATCTGGTTGAAATAATCTCCCCTCAGCCTCCAGCTAGCAGGGTGTGGTACCCAGGTGCAGAGGGCCTGGCGTGAGGTGGGGCGCGGGCTGATGGAGGGGGAGGGAGAGGTGGTTGGGCCTTTCCTGGGTGGTCTGAGGTGGTGGCTGCTGGTGGCTTTGGGGCAGGGGATGGGTTGGGGACAAACAGGGGCCTCTCTGGCTCTGGGCCTCCTAAAGCCGAGTTCAAATCAAGGCGGCACTCAGAAAGGGGGAGGATATCAGAGGGGGAGGGTCTTAGCGAGACCGGAGGAGATGGGGGAGGGGAAGGGACCCCGAAAGGGGTGGGGCCCAGAGCAGCGGGCTGCTTGACTGGGGGCCCAGGTGGGCTTGCAGCTGGGATGGAGGTGAAGGGGTCCAGAGGGGCGGAGCCGCGTGGGGGGAGGGGGCTGCACTGCGGAGCTGCGGCCCAGCGGCCCTGCCCACCGGCCCTGCCCAGCTCCGCCGCGGGTCTTGATTTTGCCATCGGGAAGGGGGGTGCACAAGGTGCCGGTCTCCGGTTGTCCTGTAGTCTCGCATGATTGAAAAGCTGGCCTGTGGGGCCTTCTCGGCTGGACCTCAAAAGTCCAAGGTGGAAAGAGCCGTCCAGAGACCGCAGGGCTCACAGATGTCCCTCTGGGAGGCCCTGGTCCAGCCAAGGGCACCTTCCTATGCTGGGAGACACAGGCCGCTCCCTTCTGCCCGGTTCAGTTCTGCAAGCTCCTCTGATTGCTCCACATGCTGCCCTGTGTGGACTGACGCCCGGGTCCCCAGCTGCAGGGACAGCAGGACAGACACTTCCAGCCCTGAGGCAGGGGGAGCCTGGGGCCCAGAGGTGGGAGGACTGCCAGCCGGGGGCCTGAGGGCTGGGTTTTGCGGATGAACAGGAGTACCCCAAGTCTCCACCTGAGGAGGAGAGCCCTGCCCAGGACCCGTGGGTCCTTGCCTCCCTGCTTCTGCCCTCACACCTCAAATTCAGCTCATGCCCAGGACTGAGCATGTGTGGAGGTGCCACAGTGGAGAGCAACTTCCACCGAAATGTGGCTTTCAGTACTGGGGGTTGGGGACAGGGGATTCCAGAACAATGGAACCATGGGCCCCGATGACCTGCTGGTCCACTGGAGTATGACAGTCCTTCCACCCAAAGCTCATGGGACCTGCCTAAAAGTAGTTGCCTGGGTGTATCTGTTAGCTACTGCTGGGTAACACACGGTCCCAGACATTTTGTCTAATCCCTATTCTGGCGACTGCAGTTGGGACTTGTTAGATGATTCTTCTGCTGGCCCCTCCTGTGGGTCATCAGTAGCTCACCCAAGTTTTCCCCCCTGACATCTCAGGGCTCCAAAAGGGCAAGGGACAAGCCTCTTGAGGCCCAAGCTCAGAACTTGCGCCACATTCTGTTGGTCGGATCTGTTGGTTGGACCAAGGCGCACACACAGCCAGGTCCAGATGCTGGGGCTGGGAAAAAACACCCCTCTTCTTGATGTCAGGAACTGCAAAGTGGCATCACCTACAGGGTCAGGAGGAACGCAGCCACCTTTGCAAGTAGCAGAGTCTTCCTGGAGGAGGGGATGATAGCCCGTGGATTTTGAAAGCTAAGAGTTTGCCATTCGGTCCCACCGGGGGCTTGTGTGTCATTTGGTTTGAGTGGGATGTTAGGGGGCTGAGGGCTGGTGGATGCTGAAGCAAGGGAGGTGAGCACGGGTGCCCAGCAGGGCTCAGGAGTGGCCGGCTGCCCATCTTGACTTTGCCCTCCTCCTCTTTCCACAGATGGCCCGACCAATCCAGGTGAAGCCTGCAGACAGCGAAAGCCGCGGAGGTAGTTGTCATCTCTCCACGGCTGCCGGGCTGGGGTCGGCAGAGGAATGGGGAGGAGGGAAATCCCTTCCTACCTCTCACTGAAGGGGACAGTGGGTGGGGCCTGTGGATCGCAGCTGGCCTTGGCTGCCAGAGCCGCAGTGTTCACACGCCCCCTGGTGGTGGGACCGGTCCAGGAACGGGGCTCTGTCCAAGACCAGCTGCTTGCAAATACCCCCACCCCTTTCAGGGTGTGCTAATGGGGGTCTTCAGAGAGGATGGGTTTCCGAGGGCTATGGGTCGGTCTCTGGGACGTGCGCGTGCGTGTCTGCAGGTGTGCATGCACGTGCGTTCCTGTGTCCAGACGTGCAGACTTGCTGCGCTGCAGCTGCTACACATGAACACATGCATGCCACGTGCGGGGCACCCGCCTGCTTGCATGCACGACTGTGCCTGGCCTGTGCGTGGGCATGTGTGCTCACGCCCGTATGCTTGGCTGTTGGAGCTGGGTGTGCGGGCTGACGTGCAGGCTGGGGCCAGAGTCTGTGTGGGGCCGGACCCCTGGAGGCATGCTCAGCCGTCGTCTTTAGTGGCCCAGAGCCTAGCCGTTCTTCTCCCTACCCTGGGTGGAGGGAAGCTAAAGGGGAGACCAAGGGGAGGGGAAGTGCGGGCAGGGCTGTTGGGACCTCTCTGTCTGTGTAGGAGCCTGGTTAAGCCTGTCTGGGTCGGGAACCAGTGGGTCTGCAGGACTCCCGCGGCTCTCCGCCCCCACCTCTAAGTATCGCTCCTTCTCCTCTCTTCCTGCTTCTCTGGTTCCCTCTGCTCTCTCTCTCTTTCTCCCTAATGCTCAGCCTCTCTGCTTCTCTCTTCCTCCCACCCTTTTGAGTGACAGCTGCCCAAGAAGGGTTTCCATAGTAACCAGCTCGCCATCCCTGGGAGATGAAGCCGCTACTTTCCTGATTACCAGGGAGCAGTGCCATCACAGAGGGGCACGGCTCTAGTGTCTCAGGGGAGAGGCTGGCCCAGCCCCCGGCCCCAGACTCAGGCAGATCCAGCCAGCCCCCCACCCACGTGCGCTAGGTGGGCTCCAGGCTTCCCTGGCACTGGGCCTGGTGCACATGACCTCTCACTGGACATCGGTTGACTGTCTCCCAGCCCCAGAAGGTTTGGGCAGGGGGTTCTGCTGTCACTGTTGAGAGCGGGGTCCTGACGTGTACCCAGGCTTGCAGACTTGGTACAGCAGGTGGTACCCAGCACCATGGTCCTGTGTGTGGGCTCTGGGTTGCACAGGAGGGATACTGTCTTTGCCCCGGAGCAGCCAAACAGGGCCTGGGACGCACGCAAAGGCTGGGAGGTGGGAACACTCAGGGTACAGGGCGTATGGAGGGATCCGGGCAGGCACAGGCTGGCCGTCCTTGCCTTGAGGCAGTGTCCCCCATCCCCTGCACGCGCAGAACAGGAGCCAGCGAACCCGGGCGAACCTGGTCCATGCGCACTGGAGGGCCAGAGAAATCACGGAGGCCCGGGACTCGGCTGAGGGGTGTCTCCGCCCACAGGGGACCGGAAGCTCTTCGTGGGGATGCTGAACAAGCAGCAGTCGGAGGAGGACGTGCTGCGGCTGTTCCAGCCCTTCGGGGTCATTGACGAGTGCACCGTGCTCCGGGGGCCCGACGGCAGCAGCAAAGGTGTGGGGGCGGGGCCTGAAATGGGGCGGGGCTGCTCCGGGGGCGGGGCCGCGGGAAGGGAACAGGTGGCCTGGGCACGGGGAGGGGAGCGGCCGGTGGGCGGGTCCAGTGGGAGGGGCTGGCTCGGCGGGACGTGGGGTGGAGCCGCTTCCAGGGGGGCGGCCGCTCTGGGCCCCCAAGTGCTTTTGGAACCGTCACAAAATTGTGCTGCCACCTGCCCAATTCCGGACACTTGACCACACTACCCAGAGCCGCCTGGCACTTTCTCCGCGCTGTCAGGAGGTGTCCGCGGTCTGTCTGCCCTGGGGCCTCTGTCCCTGCATCCTGGGGACAGCATCTGGACCTTGTGTGGGTGCCGGGCTGTTGGCAGGCTTGGCCCTCCCTCTTCTGACAGACAGGGCTCCCCGAGGTCCCGCCATGCTCTGTTTGTGAAAACAGCTGCCAGGCCGCCTGGTTTCTGGCTGACCAACTGAATGGGTGACAGGCCACTGGGCGTTCGGTGGCCGAGGTTGCTGGGCGACTGTCTGGCCGGCCCTCTGGTTGCACAGCAATCTGAACAAGCAGCGGCTGTCCTCCAGCCACGACTGCTGGGTGTCTGGCTGTGTGTCTTGGATGGCCACCGGGACTCCCTGTGGCCACCCTCCCACCCTCTCCCCTCCCCCTGTCTTGGAACAGGCTGTGCCTTCGTGAAATTCTCTTCTCACACAGAGGCCCAGGCGGCCATCCACGCCCTCCACGGCAGCCAGACCATGCCAGTGAGTAGGGGTGCCCTTGGCCATGGTAGGGGGCATGGGCAGTGAGGGGGACAGGGACAGAATCATCATCGCAGCCAGCCAGTAGCCTCTGGCTCTTCTTCAGAGAGGGCACAGGGGGCAGAGGGCCTGCAGCCCTGGGCTGTGGGGAAGGTGCAGGCGAGTGAGTGTGTGTGTGCAAGTGTGTGTGGGAGGGTGGGCATGTGTGTGCTACAGGTGTGCACCGTGAGTGTGCGCATGCATTCGAGTGCTGTTGTGAAGGCATGATTAGTAGGTGTGTTGAGAGTGCAGTATGGATGCGTGTGCATTTGTACAGATATGTGTGCTCACGTGTGCTCATGTACGTGTGTGTATGTGAATTAGTGCACATGTGTGTTAGACCTGAGTGTGCAAATCTGCGTGAGCCTGGATGACAGGGCAGTGTGTGTGTGCGCTTCGGGTTTGTGCAGCCACTGTGCCCGTGTGTACCAGCATGACCATGCACACATTGGGTGGTGTGTGTGCACACCGAGTCTGTGCAGGCCGAGGGAGGTGGATGGTGCGTGTGGATGTGTGGGTCAGCGGGTGTGAGCGTGTGCCTGCACGTGTGTGCGTCGGGGTGGGGATGGGCATGGCAGGCAGGAGGGACAGTGGAAGATGGGGCTCGAGGTCCTGCAGTTCAGGACAGAGGAGCCCAGGCTTTCTCCTCAGGCAAGGGTTTCTGGCTGACCCTGGGTGGGTGACTGGCCACTGGCCGCATCGCCATCTCTGGCTGGGCAACTGTCTGGCCTCTGCTCACAGAGCTGCTGTCTCCCAGCCACCCTTCCCCCAGAGCCAGGGAGGCCCGGCCAGTAGCGACTGTTCCTTTGGGTCAAACAAGCGGATGGAGGGGGTGACCCGGGGCCTGGACCCAGGTCCAGGTCGGGGAGCATAAGGCCTGAGCTGGGGCCGGGTGGACAGGAGGGCCAGTCTGGAAAGATGCTGGTGAGGGAAGGGTCCTACTTGCCTACTGGCCCTGGCCGAGGGGAGGAGGCGCGTCCCGGGATTCCGAGGCGGATGGGGCCCCAGGAGCCACCCTCTCTGCACACAGATGTCCACATCTGCCGGCCCCAGGTTCAGCTCTCCTCCTCAGGTCCTCCAGGGCTGTCCCTTGCTCAGAGCTTGCCCTGTGGGAACGAGCTCTCTGGGGGTCAGCAGGTCAGCAAGGGCAGGCCGCAGCATGCACCTGGGGGCTGGCGGGAGGGTCCGACTGGAGGGAATGCTTCTCCCTTCCCAAACCCCGGGGTCAGGTCAGCTGCCTTTGACGGGTGGAGAGCTGGCCCTGTGCCCCTGTGGCTGTGTCCTGATACAAAGTCCCTGCCGGCCACTGCCTGGGCTGCCCGTTGGTGTGACATCCATGTCTGAGCCCAGCTGGGTGAGCTGTCCCATAGCTGCACCCCTATCCCAGCAGGTGTGTCTTCTAGCTGTTGCTCCTGGTGGGTGACAGTCCCCTAGGTGGTTGTGCAGGCACTGTGCCCCAGACGCAGCCCAGGGCCTGGACGTGGCACCTGTGCAGACGCCAGGCCCAGGATGCTGACGGCCACGGGGCTTCCTGTGGCCTGGGCTCCTGCAGCTGTGAGCTGCAGACACGGCTGCCGTGCTGGCATGGGCTGCCCTCACCGGGCGCCTGGGCTGGCAGGCTCGGGGGCCTCAGGTCCTGGCTACCTCCTGCCCTTCTCCCCCTGCTTGCCCCCACCCCCAGGGAGCCTCCTCCAGCCTGGTGGTCAAGTTCGCGGACACCGACAAGGAGAGGACGCTGCGGCGCATGCAGCAGATGGTGGGCCAGCTGGGCATCCTGACGCCGTCCCTCACCCTGCCCTTCAGCCCCTACAGTGCCTACGCCCAGGCTGTGAGTGGCCCCAGCAGACGGGCTGTGTCCACAGCTCCCAGTGCGGCTCTCCCGTGTGCCCGGGGGTCCCGCCTCTTGGCCTTCCTCCTGTGCCTTGCTCCACCTCTCGGGCTCAGGACCTGTCCTCTATGGCTGAGCCCCCCACTCCAAGCAGCTTCCTTCCAAGCCTATGAACCGAACCCCAAGTCCAGGCTAAAACTCGAATTCTGGACCACCAGGCTCACTCACCAAATCTAGACTGAGCCCTGACCCCACCTTGACACCAAACTCAGACTGAGTCCCTCATCCAGGCTGCACCCTGGCCCTGAACCAACCCCTAATCTCAGATTAAGACCTACCGTGGGCTGAACCAAGATCCTGGCTGCCTCCAATCTAGATGAGGTCCAATTCTGGCTAAAATCCCCAATCCAGGCTAAGCCTGAGCTCTGACCTGCCTGAGCCCAGGTGCAGCTTCCATTTCCAACTGAACCCTGAGCCGTTCTGAGCCTTGATCCCTGTCTGAGCCCTGATTCCAGCCAAGACGCAGGCAGCACGACACCCCCTTCTCCCGGTCGCTGGACCAGCCTCCCCTTTGAGCCTTGATCTCAAGGCAGACCATGCCCACTGACGTCCTCTCTGTCCCCAGCTCATGCAGCAGCAGACGACTGTGCTGTCCACCTCGGGCAGCTACCTGAGCCCCGGTGTAGCCTTCTCACCCTGCCACATCCAGCAGATAGGTGCCGTCAGCCTTAATGGGCTGCCTGCCACACCCATCGCTCCTGCCTCTGGTGAGCATCTGTCAGGGGCCCAGGATGGATGGGCAGGACCCCAAGCCAGCAGTCAAGGCTCCCCTGACCTCTTCCTCTCCACAGGGCTGCACTCGCCCCCGTTGCTGGGCACGGCTGCTGTGCCCGGCCTCGTGGCTCCCATCACCAATGGCTTCGCAGGTGTGGTGCCCTTCCCCGGTGGGCACCCTGCCCTGGAGACCGTGTATGCCAATGGCCTTGTGCCCTACCCAGGTAACTCAGGGTGGTCCCCTGAAGCCCAGTGGAACAAGCATGAGTCCACACCCCCTGGAGCCCAGGGAGCAGAAGGGCGGACGAAGGAGTCCCAGCCGAGCAGATGGGAGCTGTGGTCCCAGGAAGGGAGGCCTGGCAGGTGGGAACAGAGGAAGTAGCCCAGGTGGTTCTGGGTTCACGTTTCAGTTTGGTGGCCCAGGGTTGTGTGAGTCTCAGCTCATCCAGAAAATGGGGACCAGGTGTGGTGGTGCAGGCCCGTGATCCCAGGGGCTTCGGAGGCTGAGGCAGGAGGATTGCAAGTTCAAGGCCAATCTCTGCAACTTAGTGAGACCCTGTCTCAAATATTAAAAAGGGCTGCGGATGTAGCTCAGTGATAGAGCACCTCTAGATTCAAACCCCAATACTGGAAAACAAAAAACGGAAAATGAGGCTAATACCATGACCTCACAAGGACAGCACCAAAAGTTGTATGTGTTAATTGTCCCGATTGGGGAGGACACGGATGCCTTCATTCATTCATTTGCTGAATAAATACTGACTGAGCACCGATTGGGCTGCAGCTGCCCTTGTGGGTCAGACTTGCACTTCTCTCTACCCTATACCCCTCCCAAAGCCTCCTGCCAGTAAGTCATCTCTGCCGCGGAGGAGATTCGGGTTTAAACTCTTTACTTTGCAATCATTGGAGGCTAGGTGTGTGCCTAAATAATACAGAGCAGCCTGGGTGTCCCCGTCTGCATGCTTGCTGCGCACTGGCCTCTCGCCACCCTTGCGGAGGGTCAGGAAACTGACCCAGCTCTGTACAGTCCGCTCCAGACCTTATTTGGATTTCCCATTTTCACCTTGCCAATATGTGTGTCTGTGCCGTTTTGGTCACATATTTGCGTAACCACCACAATCAAGACACAAACGCTTGCCATCCCTTCGGTCCCAGCCACCGCCCCTGTCCTCTAGCGGCCGTTTCCCCCAGACTCAGCGGTTTGGGTGGTGGGGACAACCTCTCCCGGCCCCTCTTCCCTGGCAGCCAGAGGTCTCGAGGGGCGGGGATCCGCAGGGCATCTGCTGTACCAGCGGTGGGAAGAGGATGGGGCAGAGTGAGGGGAGGAAGGGCTGAGTGGAGAAGCAAGGGAGGAGTGAGGGTCACCCCCGAAAGCGAGGGGGTCTGGACAGGGCGAGCAAGATGAAGGGGTGGTTAAATTCGTCGGAGTCTGAGAAACCCGGGGTCCTGTTGGCTTCTGCGATTTGCTCTCTGCGCGGCTCCGAGCGAGAGGCTTCCCCTCTCAGCCCCCGTGTCCCTACCTGTAAAAACGGGGTCAGCACACAGCGGGCCAGCACACAGCGAAGCGGGGGCGCACGTCCCTTTCCCTCCCTCCTCTCTTAAGGACAGGGTGGCTGGAGGACTTCTGCCGCCCCCGGCCCACTCTGCCCCTCCATCTGCCCCGCAGCTCAGAGCCCGACGGTGGCCGAAGCGCTCCACCCGGCCTTCTCGGGAGTCCAGCAGTACACAGGTAGGGAGGCAGCCCGGCGCAGCGAGCGGACCCGCCCCTTCTCCACCGGCCACACCCCTCCCCCCTCCGGTGCCCAGCCACAACCCCTGCCTCTGGCCCCACCCACTCAGGTCACACCCCTGTCCTGCTTTCATCCCCTGGCAAGGTTCCTGGCCGCACTCCTGCCACCCCCAAAACCAGACCCCCAAAGTGGACCGGTCCCTTAAGGCCCAGGCTTCAAACACAGCCCCACCACCTGGGTTTGCGCTGCGGCGTGGGGCCTCCCCTTTACCACGCCTCCGGCCCCGCCCCAGCACCTGACCACGCCCCTCTCCTGCTCTCCGGACTGACCACGCCTCTGCCAAAGTCCCGGCCCCGCCTCTGGCTCCGCTTCCTAAGGCCTAACGGTGGCCTCGCCTTCTGCTATGGCCCTGCCCCCTCCAATGTGGCCTCGGCCCTTCCTTCCTCTGGGGCCCACTCGGTTAGCCACTCTCCCTCATGGCCGTGGCCCTGCCCCTTGCTGTACCCCACCCTGTGTCCCTCAAGTTGTGGTCCCGCACACCTTCCGCCCCGCCCCTCGCCAGGGCCCCAGCTCCGGCCCCGCCCCCGCCCCCCAGCGCAGCTCCACCCCGCTCCTGTTTGGCCGCCCCTGCCCCGCTCTCGCCCCACCCCTCGAGTCATGGCCCCGCCCCTCATCCCTGTGCCCGGCCCCGCCCCC